TGAATAATTCTGTAATAAAAATATTAATCAGAAGAAGTTTTATTTCAAGAATAAATGTACACTTAATGTGTACTTTCCTGGGTTAGACACCATAGCCCTATTCTTATTACAGCAGCTTTGTCTGACTGCCAAGAATTTTCCAGGTTTGTTCCCCATTTTTCCTACCTCTGCAGAATCTAGATTTATTTTCATGATAATCATCTCTTGCATGTCATTGCCTCTTTTGTTTTGCCAGTTCAAAATAGGTAACATTTAGCATTCTAGTGAATAAGAGGCTGCCATTCATCTCCTATGACTCTTTGTCTTCCAACTATACTTTGACTGCTTTTATGTAGATTGAAATCCAGTGTTTTCCTGAATGTCAGTAATTGTGCTTCTCTATGCCTTTAGTTTGTTTTTATCACTTAGTAGAATTAGATATCAGAGCTAAAACCTTAGTTGTTTGGGCAGAAATTAATTTGGGGAAACTAGAGCCAGCACTGTGGTGTAGTAGCATCCCATACAGGCACTAGTTCCTATCCCAGCTACTCATCTATCAGTCCAGCTCTCTACTTATGGCCTGGGAAAGCAGTGGAAGATGACCCATGTGCTTAGGTTTGAACCCAGAAGATGCTCCTGGCTTCCAGCATTGGATCAGCTCAGTTTGGGCCTTTGTCTTTGCAGCCATTTGGGGAGTGAACCAGCGGGTGGAAGATCTTTTCCTCTGTCTCTTCTTCTCTCTGTCTGTAACTCTACCTCTCAAATAAATAAAAGCCTAAAAAACATTGATGGAGACTAAAATGGTACTTTATCAGCCATGACTCACATTAAATGCTTGGCACAAACAGAAAGGTGATTACTATAAATTCTGAACTTAAAGCCATTTGAACAGGAGGCTAGTTTGAAGTTTGCTGCTGAAATTTATAGTTTGAGAGTTTATTGATAACATTCTAACAATGCTTTCAAAGTAATACAGTAGTAATATAAAGTATTACTACTTAAAAGTAATACAATAGTAATAAAATGTTAACACCTTTAAGTACATATATAATTAGTATTAATTACATAAAACTAATTAGAAAGATCATTTCAAATATTTATCAAAGGGGAATTAATAAAAGACTTGACTAATTTTGCCATATTTCCTTTGATACTGCGATCTGAGCAGCAAATATGACTGCCAAATATTAGACTAAGTTTGGTACAGTTGAAAGCAACAAAATGCCACTAACAAAAACACTGTGATTGAAGTGATCACTAACTTGTATTCTCATCTATCCTTTAGCTAGAGCAAGTAGCTGTTTTTAAACTACAAAGACAAAAAATAGTGACTCGAATTTTATAGGTAAATAATCAAAAAAAACCTTCATTACTTGTATTGTTTTTACTCTGCATTTGCTAGGGTTGCCCACTTTTTCTTCAAAGTCAACCCATATTTTTAGTGAAGAGGGTCCATTTCAGAAACAAGAGTGGGATTCCAGGGAGAGCAGAAGAAAACACCTGCTGTTAATTCTGAATGCGCAAGTGGGGGCTGAAGTGTCCGAAGCAGCCACCGCAGCTGTGAGTGGAGGTTGACCTTGGCTTCTCTTCTGTGGTGCACTGGCAGGTGCCAGGACGCCATGCAGTCTGCTCAGAAACACCCTCTTTTGAAGCAGCAGTATTTATTGCTCAATTGTGAATGCAAATTTTGATGTATTCATGAATTAAGCAACCTTGCTCATGGCACACTAGCTAAAGAGTTCTGGCTGACATATGTGTCTTTGGCATTAATAATTGGACTTTGAGAAAAAAAATCTACTCTGTTCCCCACTATAGTGTGGTTTCAGACAAACTTTGGCCTGAGACATGCCATAGGACCTAATCAAGTGCCTTGAGAGGACTGATATAGGAATCTTGGTCTCAAGATTCTAACCAACAAAAGCAAACACAACTTTTTTTTAATTTGTTTATTTCAAAAGTCAGAGTTGCAGAGAAGGAGAGGCAGAGAGAGAGAGAGAGAGATCGAGAGAGAGAAAGAGAGAGAGAGAGATCTTTCATCCATTGGTTCACTCCCCAATTGGCTGCAACAGTCAGGAGGGCTGGGCCAGGCTGAAGCCAGGAGTTTCTTCCAGGTCTCCCACATGGGTGCAGGGGCCCAAGGACATGAACCCTCCTCTACTGCTTCCCAAGCACATTAGCAGAGAGCTGGATCAGAAGTGGAGCAGCCAGAACACAAACCAGCACCCATAAGGGATAACGGTGTCGCAGGTGACAGCTGCTAAGCCACAGTGCCGGCCCCAGCAAACACAACTTTAAGAGGAGAAGTTCCTTTTGAGGAAAAGTAGGTAGAAGTTAGGGTGCAGTCCACAATAGCAGCTAACCTTATCAGTAGTTGGGTTTTCTAGGTATCATTTTTTTTCCTTGATGCTAGTATATTGAAAATGTTTGACACTAGATTATTTAGCTATTCCACAACAGGGACTATTTATTTATTAATCTGACTCTCTCCCACTTGTACTCCCCTAGTGCTTAGGATATTTATGAACTCTTTATAGACATTGAATAAAAGTATGTAAAAGTCAAGATGATATTAAATAACATTCAATTTTTTTTTTTTTTTTTTTTTTTTTTTTTTTTTTTTGACAGGCAGAGTGGACAGTGAGAGAGAGAGACAGAGAGAAAGGTCTTCCTTTTGCCGTTGGTTCACCCTCCAATGGCCGCCGCTGCAGCCGGCGCACCGCGCTGATCCTGGCAGGAGCCAGGAGCCAGGTGCTTTTCCTGGTCTCCCATGGGGTGCAGGGCCCAAGCACCTGGGCCATCCTCCACTGCACTCCCTGGCCATAGCAGAGAGCTGGCCTGGAAGAGGGGCGACCGGGACAGAATCCGGCGCCCCAACCGGGACTAGAACCCGGTGTGCCGGCGCCGCAAGGTGGAGGATTAGCCTATTGAGCCACGGCGCCGGCCAAAATAACATTCAATTTAAATCAAGACTAGAACTTCCATAATGTTTCTTAAACTAGACAGTAGGTCTCCTCTCATTCTTTTCTTTGGCTTTCCTTTGTCCCACCAAAAATGAAATCCTAATCCTCTTAATGTATAGTATTAATGAGCATTTGTATTTTTTGAAATCATCAAATAAACTCTTTAATTTTACAGAAGTAGGCACATAGACTGTACTCATTACTCACTACTTGATTCACTAAAAAAATTATTTAATACATTAAATATCTACTGGAAACACTAAGAAAAGGTATTTTTCTTAGTTTCTCTGTTTTTCAATGTCAAAATGATTTTGGGGGTAAAAGGGAAAAGAGTTTGTCAAGGTGATTCCATTATCTTAGCCACCTTCCTCTTCTTCACTTCCCCTTTTTCTCATTTTGAACTTGATATCTTGGGAGCAGTGTCCATGAAACCGTGGAGAATGTGACTTGGGAGATATTTCAGAAGGTTCCTGTTTCAGGTACCAGACTTGGGCATCATTCTGAGAGTCTACTTGTAGAATTGTGTTCTGACATTTAGCATCAAAACTATTGAATTTGGGGTCTTGTGCCCACATCCTCTATTGAAGGGCTTGGAATTGAGTCCCACCTCTTCTTCCAGTCTAACTTCCTTCTCATGTTCCTGGAAGGCATCAGATGATGATCCAAGTACTTGGGCCCCTGCCACCCACATGGGAGACTCAAAGTGAGTTCCTGGCTCTTGGCTTTGGCCTAGCCAAGCTCTCACCATTGCAGACATTTGAAGAGAGAACCAGCAGATGAAAGATATCTCTCTCCCACCTCTGCCTCTCTCTCTGCCTTTCAAATAAATAAAAATAGATATTTGAAAAAAAAAAAGAAAATACCAAGTATTAGTGATGCTATAGGGCAACTCAAATTCTTATACACCACAGATGGGGTTGTAAATTGTTAAAAACCACAGTGGAAAACTATTTGGCCATTTGAACATATGCATAATCTATAGCCTAACAATTACTCTTAGATACATACCCAACAGAAATGCATTCAATTTTTGACCAAAAGACATGTAATGGATGTTCATAGCTGTAGCATTTGTAATAGCCAAGACCTTGAAACTCCTGGAAACAAATAGCCATCAACAGTAGGATGAGTGAGTTATGGTATAACCACATAATAGGATGTTAAAACATAGTAGAAACAATGAGCAGCTCTATACTTCACACATAGTGAACAAGAGAGACCAGATATATACTGCATGCTTCTGTTGATATAAACTACAAAGTTGAGGAAACTGTACAGGATTGTAAAAAGTCAGAATAGTGGTAACTGTTGGTAGAAGGGTGATAACAAGGAAATGTCACAGCAGAAACTTCTGACTTGCTGGTAGTGTCTCTTTCTATAGCTGAGTTCTACTTTGTGTAGGCATGTTCAATTTGTGAAAATTTATTCAGCATATTGTATACTTATATACATATTGTACTTAAGAATACAACTCTAAGAATATGGTGATTCTTCCCACCCTCCCACCCTCCCACCCAACTCCTACCCCACCCCTTCCTCCCTTTTCCATTCCCAGTCCCCTTTTCCATTAAGATTCATCTTCAATTAGCTTCATACAAAGAAGTCCAACTCTACACTAAGTTAAGATTTCAACAATTTGCACACATACACACACACACACACACACACATACTCACAAACTGTTAAAGAACAAGTTTTACAGTTAATTCTCATTGAAGACAGAAGTCCTGCACGGGAGGTTAGTGCACAGTGATTCCTGTTGTTAATTTAACAACACTCTTATGTATGATATCAGTGATCACCCGAGGCTCTTGACATGAGCTACCAAAGCTATGGAAGCCTTTTGAATCCACAATCTCCATCAGTATTTAGACAAGGCCATGAGCAAAGTAGAAGTTCTCTCCTCCCTTCAGAGAAAAGAATATCTGAAGGTTCCTCAAGAACCTGCTTAGACAGTTCTAGTGGGTGCCCTTCATATGAATCTCTTGATTGACCTTGATACATTCAGGCTACAATATTTTTGTTTTCATTCATATATTTTCTTCTCTTTTATCTTTTCAGGGCCCTCCTGGTCCAAAAGGTGATAAGGTAAGAGGAGGCATTGCTGAAACAAATTACGTTAGCAGAAATTCATGCTGGCATGACCTATAATGTGCTATACTTTTCTCTTTGTAATGAACATCATCTATAGCTTTGGTTAAACTGTCATCTCACTTTCCTATTCTACAGGGAGAACAAGGTGATCAAGGGCCTCGGGTAAGTTGCACTCTTTCTACCCTGAGCAAAAAGTTGATTTCCAATCCCACACTTATTGATTAAAAGTACCCCAGCATCATAACTGTCTTTGTGCCTAAGTGGCTTAATATACCACACCACTTATAAGTGAAAAAGCCAGAATAACTTCTAATGTGTATATCTTGTGCATTATCTTAACTTGATGCCTCAGGCAGAACATTCTACAATAATTAGACCTTCTGAATAATAGCCAGAATCATTTCTAAGACTCAACCACAGCCATCTTCCCAGTGCCCACTGGGTCCTTCACATTTGCGTGGGTTGCTTTGCAGCATAAAGACCATATGCATTTCTCTTGAATTTGGCCTTTTCTGCACTTAAACTATATACGCTATTGCAAAAATATGTTTTTATTGTAGATAAAATATTAATGCATTTACTCTTCAGCATAAGTGTGAATAATATGTATTTAAATTTCTTGTTGTTAGAGATTTTTCAGCAGATGAAAGGTGTAATATAATTTAGCACTGAGGAGGAGGTGCATTCTTTCATTCTTCTCGAATGTGGCCTTTTTGACCATTAGAACACAATGGTGAATGCTTTGTTGTTACCTTGGTAGTGCCAAGTCCTCTGCTTCACATCTGTGCCTTATTACCCAAATGTTCAGACATACTGTTCCAATGATGTAGTGGCTCTGTTCAGACATACCTCTCAATTTTCTCATGTCACTATGCACAAATGCAAGTATTTGGTTGAAGAGAGTAATTTTTTTAGAGTGGAAAGGCACATTTAAAACTTTCAGGTTGAAAACAAAAACTATGTAGGTCTTTCTGCAAAATACACTGTGGTTAATTATTGAATTCATTTGTATTGCATAGATTTTTGGAAAAAAGTTGCAGTTAATGCAAACATCAAATATTGTAATCTTAACTATATCTCCTCGTGTTACGTAAACTACATAAAAGTTTCTCTTATATTCTTCAGCCACTTCTTCATATAGAAATGATTATGCCTCAATGTATTTTGTTTTTGAAGGCAGTTATCCTGGCTGATGACTGGCTTCAAACTAAAAGTTCATTATAAATGGTCAAGGAGATTAAACATTGTGGTATCTACTATCATGGATATGCCTGGAATAAAACTCTTGTAACCTTAAATGATTACAATATCACCCCTTGCTCCATGGGTGGTGATTATTTCACATGGCATGTCTCCAGTATTGCATATCATTTCTTTCTACACACAATAACAAAATCACTCAGCATGCCCTTTCCAGGTAAGAGGGAAACTGTTTCCATTCTGAGAAATCTTCTTTTTGGCAGAGGAAATAAGGGGGTGGTTCACAGGGTAGCTGTCATCAGTACACATGCAGCCCTCATTTTCAAAAAGGTGTGTTGGCTTTCATCGTTACCAAGAGTGATGATTGATTATAAAGCTAGGCCAAATTTTCAGGATGAAACCCGAAACCATCTGAAATTCACCTGGTTTCATGTTGCATTACAAACTGAGACTTGGACCAGGTTCCTTGAAAGTTTGGCCAAAGTTCACGAACTACTTTGACAAACCCAGACTGCCTTTCATACTGATTTCAGCCAGTTTTCACACTGATAGGGGCCAAGTTTCACACGATTCAGGGGCCATTTAGGATTTCAGGAAGAAAGTGGCAAAAATTGATCCTGTTTTCCCTGGGTTTTGCTTTGAATTGAAGGACTGTGAATTGCATTCATAATGCAGGATGCATCCTCATAACTAAGAACCTAACTGTCCTGGAAGGGATGTTTAAAAGGGAATGAGAACACTCAGGATACTAACTTAGAAACAAATCAGGTGACAGTCAGTGCTCTTAGAATTGTATATTTTATACCCATTATATACAGTATTTTCTACTATGACAATATTAAGTACACATTAGGGAAGTTTTCAGATCAAGACAATAAAATGATCATTCCACTTGTATATATAAATTTTAAAATAGTCACAGATCATTAAAACTAAAGTAGTGTTTCATTCTTAACCATTGGTTTGACAAAGATATCCAACAAAGTTTGATGAAACTATATTTGCAGAAATCTGATACATAGATTTTTTTGTTTTTGGTTTTTTATTTTTAATTTTTTTAATTTTAGCTTCCATATAAGGGAGAAGATGCAGTATTTGTCTTCTGTGGTCATCTATTCATTTGATTATTGTTTATAGCCCTTGCCCATATTCCTGCTGAACTAGGATATTTTCACTTTTTACTCGGTGAACTCTTTATTTGGTGGAGATTAAATCTTTGACTCTAATGTAAATTAAAAATATATTATCTCAAAAACAAATAAAAGAGAGGGGAAAAGAGAGTAACATGTTCCTACAATTGTATCTATAAACTACATTGAATCTGTTTCCTGTGTACCGATCTCACATTAACATGAAAAAATAAAGTTTAAAAGATAATATTTTTTATTTTCAGAAAGTCAAAAGTAAGTTAGAATTGGAAAAATCTAACTGTAATGAAAATTCACTTTCTTATCTTCTGTTCATTCACATTGTTCCAATAGAGCTCTCCTGACACTCTTGTTTTTGAAATGTAGATCTTCATGTTTAAATATCCAGTCATTTTTCATCCTGTTGTAGATTTTGAATTCTATTCATTACCATTGGTTTCAAGTGACTTATTTCTTCCAATAATTAATGATATAACCCTCTCCATTATTTCAGTTCTCTGTTAAATAAACCAGGAAAAACATGAAAATAATATGTAAATTAAGAATGTCAGACCATTTGGAAATACTTGGACATCTATGGGGCATCTCCCATGTTCAAGATACTATGCTTACTATTATTGAAACCTTGAATACATTCACTTCTTTCCCTCTCCTACTATCACCAAATTCAGCCTACTATCATCTCATGCTGTTGATTATTGCAACAGTCTTCCAATTAATCTTCCTGCTTCCACTCTTGACCTTGTATAATCCATTTTCTACACAACAGCCAGAGAGATCATTTTACATTGTAAACTAGGTTGTGTTACTCCCTCTTTAAAACCTTGGAATGAAATCCAAACCACTGTGCTTGGCCTCCATGGACTTTGAAGGTCAGTCTTGCCACCTCTGCAACCTCATTTCACACAAGCTCTCCCCTCACTATATTTCAGCCACACTGTGCTCCCTGCACTCTTCAGACACATGAAATTCATGCCCATCTGGACCCCTTTCTATTGGCCCCTTCTTGCCTTCTGAGCAGTGAGTTATTATCATTGGTCACCTAACCAAATATTGTTGATCTAAATCTTACCAAACTACCTGATCTAAAGATGAGATTATTCTATTTTATTTAATTACTTGCTTGTTACCTGTAAAACATATCCTTCTCCTCTCCCCCACTTAGAATATAAACTCCATAAAGTAAGAGCCTGGTCTATCTTATTCATGCCACTATCACAAAGAACAGTAAGAGCTTGATAAATGTTTGTTGAATGTATGAATAAAAAATAGCATTAAATCATTGCTGCCATCAAGGAAGTAATAATCTCTTAAATGCCTGAATAGGAAAATGATGTGGTTGTATGTTATGTGCCTTAAACAGCTAGATCAAAAGATACCAGAAATGTGAAAATTTTTCCACTTTAAATAGTCATTGAAAACTACAGAAAAGATAACACTTGACCTAGGATTTCGTAAATGGACAATCTTTGGGGAGATAAGGTAAGGCTTGGTATTACATATTCCAGGGAAAAGAAATAGTATAAACAATATTATACAGGTAGAAAGTGGCAGGATTTATTTAAGGAGCAAGGAGTATTCCATTTGCCAAGAAAATAGGTTGCATATTGAAAAAACTGTATCATTTATGTCTGAAAATTTTTATTAAAATTGTGTTATGGAGCATTTAGAATGTCTAGTGTGATGCTGGCGCAATGGCTCAATAGGCTAATCCTTCGCCTGCGGCGCCGGCACACCAGGTTCTAGTCCCGGTCGGGGCGCTGGATTCTGTCCCGGTTGCCCCTCTTCCAGGCCAGCTCTCTGCTGTGGCCAGGGAGTGCAGTGGAGGATGGCCCAAATACTTGGGCCCTGCACCCCATGGGAGATCAGGAGAAGCACCTGGCTCCTGCCTTTGAATCGGCGTGGTGCGCTGGCCGCGGCAGCCATTGAAGGGTGAACCAACAGCAAAGGAAGACCTTTCTCTCTGTCTCTCTCTCTCACTGTCCACTCTGCCTGACAAAAATAAATAAATAAATAAATAAAAAGAATGTCTAGTGTGATATCAGTAGAGAACCATTGAAAGCTTTTTGAGTACATATCCCAATCCATACTTTCACTTTGCACAATTTCAGTTACCCATTGCCTTCTTACATGTCTGAAAACATTAAATGAAAAATTCCAGCAATTTCTAGTTTTAAATAACTTTTATTAACTTTCTTATTACAATTGTTCAGTTTTATTTTTGTTATTAATCTTTTACTGTGCCTAATTTATAAATTAAGCTTTTTCATAAGTATATGTGTATAGGAAAAAACCAGTACACATGTGGTTTGGTACTATCTGTGGTTTTAGGCATCCTGAAAACATCTAGGAACATTGGATGAATGCAGACTGTTGTACATTGCTTGATGCATGTTACCACAGTACTATTACCAAACGTACTCTGTGAGGATCTATTTGGTGGTAGTGTCCATTGTAGAATGGAATTGGAAGAAGTTGAAAGAAAGGAAACCAAGTCTGGAAACTGTCCTTCATCTAGGAAAAGATCATAGGACTCTAAGCTATAATGTAATGTCCACTCCTCAGTGGAGAGTCATCAGAGGAAATGAGCCGGATCATCCTAGAACATTAGGTAACAATGGAGGAAGGGAGTCATTTTGAACAGAAAGCTCAGGATGAGAAGTTCTGTCATAAGAAGGGGCTAAGTTGGAGTCACCAAAGTTTGGAAGAAAGCTCCACTAATCCTCTGGAGGCTATAGTTTTAGTTTGTATTTCTCACATAAGAAGTTTGCAGAAGGCAGCTGATGATGATATTTACATTATTCAAAGATATTA